GCGTCGGGATCCGCGCGTTCGTGCTAGCTGTGTGGGCCACCAGAGGCACTATGACGTACATCGCTGACTACGAGCCATTGGTCCAGCGGAAGAGCGTATGAGCGACCTTGCGGTGATGATGGAGATTTGTAGGTTGCTTTGGCGGATCCGCTCCGCGCTCGAGACCCTGCGGACATTTCGATTTTGTTCCCGCGCAGTCATCAAGACCAGCATGACATGGTGGAGGGACGTGCAGTCAGGAGTTTGCTCGGTTCCTCCCCCTCCTCCTCCTCCTCCTCCTCCTCCCCCTGCTGCTGCTGTTTCTGAGCTTTTGTCTCGTCATTCCCTCGATGAGTCGAGAAGGAAGAATTTGCGTTGTTTCGGGTCGGCGTCCGTGGCCACGGCGCCCGAATGGATCAATGCGCCGTGCCCTCAGCTTGTGAATGTTCATGGAATCCCGTGGTCCCCGTCGACTAGTTCTAGAATTCATGTAGCGGGGGGCTGGCTACACTCTCCCCATTTCCTCAATTATCATTCCGTTTTGAAGCTCTGGTTCTGTGGGAGGTGCGGGGGGGTAGCTGACAAGCAGCTCCGGCAAGCCGTGCTCCCCCATCACCCCCACTGGTCAACTGTATTTAGATCGCATGAGAGATGGGTTAAATCCCAAGGTCTTGAGCAAGGGGGAATCGAACAGTCGGCAGCAAAGATCCTCCTTGTAATGCGGTTATATGTCACAACGTGCACTCCGCAAGTGGTTCATACTCATACTCATACCCAGGCTTGTTTGAAGCCGCAGAGGGGCTTCGTTCCTTATTTTGCGTTCCTTATTTCAGCAGCCCGACTGTAGACGTCAGGGTGACCTTTCGCCAAAGTCATTTTTGGTGCGGGCACAGATGGATCCCCAGATGGCTGAAAACGAGGCAGGAGCAGCCGCCTGCGCGCCCAGGTGTGGTCCCCCCTCGGCCCCCCAGAAACCGCGCACCAGAGGTCACCCTTACCCAAGGCCACTCTTGCGTGCGCCGGCCCCCTCCCCATGGGGCGACGCGCGCAGTCAGGTCGGCGATTACAAAGGGTGTTTTCCACGCGTGGCCCTGCGTGTAGCACGTGTCGGTTTCAATGCGAGCTGGTCTGGGGAAGGGGCCCCGGCCCCATTTGAAAAACATTTGAAGGATCGAGAGCAGGATATCGCCAACAAAAACCAACAAAAAATGGGTGCGGTTACACCGGGCCGTGGTCTGCGATCGGCGCCGTCTTCGTCGGGCCGCTGCGGGGCGCGGCGGAGAGTTCCGTCGAGGCCCCCGCTGGCCCCCCAGGGTGCCCCCCAGGGTGCCAGTTGCAAACCGTCATGCAGTGACGAAGCGTCCTGGCTCGCCTATAGCCCTACCAAACAATGTTCTAAGAACCTTTTGTGGTTTCCACGAAATGTTCTTATAACATTTCTGACTGGGAGCGTCTTGGTTTAACACATGGGGTTTATGTTCTAAGAACATTTCGTGGTAAAACGCTTTTGGGTTATAAGAACATTTCGTGGTAGGACTAAAGGAATGCCGGGACGGTCGGTCCCTGCTCAAAACGGCACCCTCTGCAAACCACACCCTTTGGAGCCGCCGATCAGGAGTCTGATGCAGTCGGACCTGGTGCCCTAATGTTCGCCGTGCTTGTTGGGTGTCGTCGTGCATCCTGGGAAAGGGCGCCCTCGGGGAATGTCTGATTCGGGGCGTTCTGGCCGGCGGAGGGTCTCGTGTCTTTGAAAGGTGCTCGTCTGGCCCAGGCTCGACGGTAGTCGAGGGCCGCAACGAGGGCGCGAGGCGGTGCGCGATTCGCGACTCCGCATCCTCGTCCTCGTCCCCTTTCGTCCTCCTCGTCTCACACGGGGGGCGGCGGCGCGGGAGCGCGAGGGTCCTTGGCGCATCCCGCGCAGCTCGAGCGTGGCTGCTCTGGAGGTGCCGCTCGGTGGCGGGCGCCGCCACACCGCCCGGGATACGTGCGCCTCCGACGGGGATCGGGAGCCCGGAGGCGGGGGTCAATGCAAGGAGGAGGAGGAGGAGGAGGAGGAGGAGGAGGAGGAGGAGGAGGGAGGAGGAGGAGACGGGGGTCAGCCAGAGCGCCGGACCTTGCAGGATCCTGCAGGGCCAGGGTCGCACCGACCCAGGTTCGAGTGCAGGCTCCTGCAGGCTCTTGCAGGGTCCTTCGCATGGACCCAGGTTTGGGCGCAGGGTCTTGCAGGATTCTGCAGGGCCCGGCTGACCCGGGTTTGGATTGACCCGGGTCAGAAGATCCCCTAGGGGAGCTCACTGCATTAGTATGTTATGCAAAAGACTTACGCCATTTCGCCGACCGCCAGAAGAGGCGTGGAGACCACGGTTGAGGCGTCGTGGGCCTCTTGGGCATTATGTGGAGATTGTTGTGGGCGTCGTTGTTTGGGGGCCTGGCGGAGCTTCTTGGAGGCAGTTGTGAAGCGTGTGAGGGCCCGCTTTTGGGCGTCATTCGGGCCGTTTGTGGGCCCCGGGGGGCTTTGGGGGGTCTCTTAGGGCAGAGAGATGGTGTTTGTTCGGTTCGTGTTCTCCCTCTTCGCCTCTCTTGGGGCCCTTTTGGGGCGATCTTTGGCCGTCTTGGGCCCCTCGTTGGGCCGTCTTGGATCCCTCCTGGGCCGTCCTGGGGCCCTGGTAGGGGCCTCCTGGGCAGTTTTGGGGCGGTCTGCGGGGCCTCTTGAGCCGTCTTGGAGCGTCGGAAGCTCGACAGGACTGACACCTTAGACACAATGGCAAACTTTTGGAAAACCATTGATGTTTGCCTCTCGGGACCCTCTAGGGAAGGCTCTTGGAGCGTCTCGAAGGCGTCTTGGGGCATCTTGGAGCCATCGTAGGCATCTTGGGCCAATCGTTCCGCGATTCGGGACCTTCTTGGAACAACGTCTTTGAGGCCACGGAAGGCAGATTTGGAAGCTCCGAAATCTCCGGGGGTATGGCGAGGAGCCCTTTATCGGAATGGACCCTCGGGGAGAGGAAGAGTGGGGAGGGGGACAGCCAATCATTTCACACGCCTTCTCACCCCCGGCAAGCGGGGGTCGGCGGATTCTGCGCCTCACGACGACGCCGTCGCTCTATGTTTCGGATTTGTGTGTGTGTCCGTTTCTGGAGGTTCTCGTCGCCACCGCAGGGCGCAGCTCGAACAACCTTGAAGGATGGCCCCCGAGAGCGACACGGAGGCCCACTGTGATTATTTCTGTTCCAAGATATGATGGTTTGCGACGCGCACCTCTTTGGATCTAGCTTCTGTGATTGGGGCTCGAGGGTCACACTTCGAGTTGTTCGTGGCTCTCTTTCCTCCTTTTAAGGCCTCTGGGGGACTCCTCGTCGCAACGTCTGGATTCCTTTTAACATCCTCGTCGCAAGAAGTCCCAAGCGACGTCGTGGGTGCGATTCTTAAATATGGCTTGAGGAAGAGATTGGAGTCCTGAGGGCTCAATTGAGGTCTCGAAAGTTTGGCAGCACCGTCAACGGACGACTCGGGCTGAAAAATCAAAAGCCAGTCCCGGGGAACGCCGTGGGGTGCAGGACCCGATTCCTTCAGGACCTTATCCTTTCTTGCCAAATCTCGCTTCAGATATTTCCGTGCTTCCGAACGCTCCTTGGAGGTTCTCGGTTGGGCGTTGCGTAATGGGGGGTCATAAGTGGGGGGGGTGTCGCGGGTGGTCCGAAAAGGTACCTAAACGGTACCCAAACGAGCCCCTTGGGCTCCTGGGGCTCCAGAGGGGCCCGAAAGGGGCACGAAAGGGGACCGTTTCTGACCCCCCCATATATGATCCCCCCATTTATGACCCCCCCAGTAAGCCACGCCCAACTCGGGCCTTGGGGTGCTTTCCAGCGGCCGCGTCTCCGAGGTCCTCCGGGGGCGCCAGGATCGTCCCGGAGGGCGCCCGAGGCCCGAGGCATGGCCCAGGATCCAGGGCACACGGAGTACACATGGTTCATTTCTAATTCTTCGAAAGGTCTTTGATTTTTTTGGGGGCCAAGATCCTTTCATTTCTAGTTGTTCTATCCTGGGCCTCGTCCTGGCCACTAGGGAGCCAGGAACAGTTAGAAACGAGCACACCTAGAGATGATCACGATTAGAGATGAACGACGTGTATAGGCGAGGTCGTGGGGCCGTGAAGAAGGCGCAGCGGGCATCTCCGCCACCCCTCGGGCCCCGAGGGGCCGTCGGGGTCGATCCCGCAGCAAGGCGGGGTCGAGAGCTCTGGTCGATGGGCTTGTCTTCCACCACCACCACCACCATAAGTTGGAGGGGGAGAGGGTCCTCCTCCTCCTCCACCTCCTCCTTCTCCTCCTCGTCCTACTCCTCCTCGTCCTCCACCTCCTTTCCCCCCTCCAACTTATGGTGGTGGTGGTGGAAAACAGGCCCACCACTGGTCTCGTCTTTTTCACGGCGTTGCGCCTTCCTCTCGCAGGCGGAGTCTTGTCCCCAATGCTTCAGTTTCCAGCAAAACATGTTCGATGTGTTGCGAGACATTGTCGACGAGCTTGGACGCAGTCTATGCAGGCTGTCACCGACTCGCGAGGATGATCCACGAATAGACGATGACCAAGATGACTGAGTACCACGACCGACACCGACGATTCTGCGCTCAGTCATGGTCATGGTCATCTGTTTCTTCCCCTTCAAAATGGAGCCTGGGAGTGCATCCATAAGGGGCTGTTCGGGCGCTCCCCTATCGAGGATGATCGCCGCCCCATCGTACATCGCCGATCACGGCCCCGCATGGGCATTAGGCCAGTCGAACGCTCCACTGAGTCGGGGGTCGGGGTCGCCATTCGTTTTGTTATCTAGTTTCCCCGAGGGGCGCGAAGATAACCCCGCGCTTCGGGCCTCGCGGGCTAGACCAGAGAGGCGCCCTTCTCCAAGCAGGAAAGGCGGCCCAAGGGCTCGAGGCCGCGAAGGTAATCGAGCGTAACGCATCGCGATGCGGGACGCGCGAAGTTGGGTGACATAATTTCTGTTTCACGCGTTCGGATCTCCAGGCTGTGGGAGAAGGCCGCCCACTCTTTGGACGCGCTACTGGGGCTCCGGCTCAGCCCGGACGTTATCTTTTTCGGCGCCGTCGCCGGCGCTTGCGCGCGGGGCGCGCAGTGGCCGCAGGTGCTGTCGCTTCTTGCGCACATGAGGCAGGGCCGCGTAAGATCCGATTCGGTGCGATTCGATTCGCCGGTTGGGGCCTCGATTCCGATGCGATTCGATTCGGTTTGATTCTCAGTGGAGAAGTACGTACCGAAACCGCTACCGTTGCCTTGCTTTCCCCATTTTGGGCCTCCTGGAAGGGCTCTCGTCGCCACTCGCAGATTCGCCTCGAAACCCTGGTCGGAACGCACCCTAAGAGAGGTCTGGGAGACGTCCCCTCCAGATTCACCAGCATCGCCCAGGGCCAGCCAGTGGCCAGGCGCGGCGAGCCGATTGCGATTCGACGCCGGACGATTCGCGGGCGATCCGGGCCGATTTCACGATCCGATCCAGCTCCGACCCGCCCGAGACGCTGCCGCGTGCACCCCGACGTCATCACCTACAACGCGTCGGTCGCCGCGTGCCAGGGCGGCCAGTGGCGCGTGGCCCTGGGCCTGCTCGACGAGATGGAGCGCGGGGCGCTCCAGCCAGACATCGTCACGTATAGCGCGGCGGTCACGTCCTGCGAGGAGGGGCGGCGGCGTGACGAGGCCGCGCGTTTGCTGCTGGAGATGCGGGGGCGCCTGCTGTCGCAGGACGTCGTCGCGTGCGGCGCCGAGATCGACAGGTGCGTCAGATGCTCGTTTTGGGGGGGGCCCTCTCTGGGGCCCACTTCGCGGATCTCCTCGACTCGAACTGGTTCGGCGCTTGTTCGGCTCCAGCTCGTCCCTGGCTCGGCTCAAGCTCGGCCCAAGTTCGACACGGCATCGGCGGACGTCCGGTGCAGCCTCGACGCAGGAGTGGAGCGCGCGGCTCCCGGAGGGTCCCCCCGAGCGAGCGCCCGAGGTGCGGGAAGCAGCACTGGTGGGAGCGGGCCGTGGCCGTCCTCCGCAGCATGCGGGCGTGCGGGCTCGTGCCGAACCTGGTGACCTACAACGCCGCGATCAGCGCCTGCGAACGGGGGCGGCAGCCCGGGCAGGCGCTGGCCCTCCTCGAGGAGGCCGCGGGGGCGCGGCTCCGCCCTGACGGCATCACCCTCAGCGCGGCCATCTCGGGGGTGGACAGCGTTCCGACCCTGACACGTCGATTAGGGAACTGGCCGTTTTCGGTTCGCGAGAGGGCGTCGCGGCCGTCATTCTTGCGGGTCCAGGTCCGTCGGTTTCGGTCCCAGGCCGTTTTCATGAAGGGGAGGTCTACCAAAGGGAGGTTTGTCCACCGCCGACCATCAGCGCGTGCGAGAAGGGGCACGATTGGCGCAGGTCGTGGGCGGAGAGTCTTGGCACACGTGGGAGCGACCCTTCTTCGCCGGAGCGTGGCCTTCGGTGCGGGCAGGCTTTGGTGCGGTCGCGCCGGGTGTGGACATGTAATGCGGGGCGGGGCGGCAGACAGCAGTTACAGATCCCGTTCATTTTGAACAGGGCTCGCTGTCGGTGTGTCCACCCCGATGGTGCCCATTTGAGACAGACAGCCGGTTGCCCAATTGCGGTCGTTGTCGGTTTTGGACAACATTCCATGTTGGGCATCGTGCCAAAGTTTTTCCGTACCCATCTCTGGCGCCCAATAATTCGGGTGTCCCCAGATGGTTGAACGCGATGCGATAGCAGCGTCTTGCGCGCCAGGGCTTGGCCTCCCCGCGGCCCCGCAAGTCCCGCACCAGAGGCCACTCTTGCCTACAGTCGGGGCCCTGGAGAAGGAACCCTTTTCGTTGGGGAGGGGCTCCGCGTTCCTTAAGTGTTTCGCAGCTTGCCTCAGGGTTTCCTCGGGCTTTCGAAGGGAAATCGAAGTTTAACTTATGGAAAAAAGGGGCCTCGTTCCTTATTTAGGGTTCCTTAGGTCAAGGCCCCGACTGTAGGGCCACTCCGGGGTGTAGCCGAAGACAGCACGTCCGTATCCGCGGCCTCGCGGGGCCGGGCCCCTGGGCCGAGACCCGGCGGCGAGCGGAGGGGGGAAGCGAGCAGTAGAAGGCCTTCTCCGAAGGCTGGGAGCACCCCTCGGCCTTCCGAGAAATTTTCGAAGCCTCCCCCGAAGACACAGAGACCCTCTCAGAAGGCGCGAGGGTTTCTGAGGAACTTGTATTGGTACCGTCCACATTACAGTAGTATCAGTACTTGGAGGTGCATCCATGTGCGGTGTTCGACTACGTTGGTGGGGCATATGTATCAGCATTGTTTGCCCCGCCCAACGGTACGAACAAGGGCCAGTTTCGCACCGCCTGTGTTACCACTCGACGAACTCGCCCCATGTCGCTCATTCGAGCTCGCAAGTGCACGCGCCGATAAACAACAAATGCCACGGTGGATATTGCGTGACTACCTGGTGGACCTCAAACCGTGAGTATAGGTAACACAAAGACGTCTGAAAGCGCCTGTTGTAAAAATCCGTACGCCCCCCTGGCCTACTAAAGAAAACATCGCACGCACAAACATCTAACATAAGAACACTTTTTGACATCTGACAGCCCGACGTTTCTTTCATGGGGGCGGGGTCGATGCAACTAGAGGAGATGAGGGCGAGGATTGGTGGGGGGCGATCGGGACACATGAGTGGGGGACGGGCAATATCTGACCAATTCAGGGCAATAAGCAACGCCGACATAGCTGGGGGGAGGTGGACGCACACGCACTTCGCATAGGGCCGCGCGGTTATGAGGGATTTATCCTCCCCCACCCCCACACGTATTTCTCGACCAACGGCCCCCCAACCCCTACCCCTACCCCCTACCGCTACCCATACCCCTACCCCTACACCTACCCCTACAGCCTACCGCTACCCCTACCCCCTACCCCCTACGTCTACCCCTACCTCTACCCCCTACCCCCTACCCCTACCTCTACCCCTTACCCCCTACCCCTACCCGTATCTTCAAATTATGATTGTTATGTCCCTTGTTATGTCAGCTAGTATGTCCCCTGGCATGCCCCTGGCATGTCCCTTGGATGTCCTCTGATGTGTCCCTTGTCGCTCTGCGTGCAAGCTCATGCCGCGACCGCCTTCCCAGCAAGCCTGTCCGATCCCCCATGTGTCCACCCTCCGCCACTTTGGGCTCAACTCTATCATTTTGTGGCACATCGGGCATGTGGAGGTTGTTGGTGGATGGCCCTGGGGCTGGAGCAGGCGACGGTGCTGGAGGAGCTGCAGCCCCACCAGCAGCTGCTGCCGCCGCCCTGGCTCCTGCCGCCCCCGCGCCAGTACCAGCTGGGCGCGGGCGCGGCCGCGGCGGCCGCGGCCGCGGGCGCGCCCGCGGCAGGGCAGCAGCCGCTCCAGGGGCGGGCCATGGTCGCGGCGCGCCTGGCAGGCCGAAGGAGCTCGCCCACAGAGCTCGGATCCGCGCCGCCATGCGCAAGTTTCAGGCTTGGCGAGCACGGGCTGCCCTGAGGAACGCGACGGGCAGCTCCTTCGCGCGGGCGGTCTCGAGCACAAGTTTCGGGTGCTCCGCGGTTGACGCCAAGGACTGTGGAGCCAGCCCGCCAACCGTCCTGCGGCCGATGCCGCCCAGTCAGACATGCCCTGGGCCATGGATCAGATTCTGCAAAGGCGTGAGATTTACTGAATGACCAGGTGCGGGCGCAGGGCAAGTCTGATTGGGCGGCATTGGCGTCATGTCGTGGCTGTGGGTTGGCTGTGGTCCACAGGAAGCCGCGTTGAGGACCAGTGAGTTCGAGGCCGCTGGTTTGATCATCGCAGTGGACGTGAGGAGGACGTCCAAGAAGGATTGCTCCAGGGCCGCAGTGTCGCACGTGCTGTCCCAGGCCACAGGCGCGCGCGACTTCATCGCCTCAGCGCTTCCTGCCGAGGCAGGCATGCTGATCACTGCGACGATGGGCGACGCTGAGATGTGGCTTCGTTCTGCGCCCAATGATGTTCAGCGACCTGCTGCTGCTGATGATATGCCCAACCCTGGCGTAGACAAGCACGAGTCCAAACGCGGCGCGAATAAGCGCCGTTGCGTCATGAACCTTTCGCAGACAGTTCACATGATTCCTTTGTTTTCGAGGGCTTCGTTTTCGACCATGGCCTGTGAGATAGTAACGCCTGCTGTGCCCATCCCGAGGGGGAATTTCGGAACGATCTACGACAGGTGGAGGAGGTGGAGTATTTTCCCTACCAGAGGTTCTTGCTTTGATCGCGCTGCTGTGTGCGGTCCTGTCGTTGATGCCATTGGAAGTAAGTTGGTGTTTTTTTCAAGGACGCACACGTATGCAATGGCTTACTGCAGGGGCAGGTTGAACGGTCAGCGATCTTGCCCCAGGGCGCGCCACACTCGTTCACTGTGATTGGCATTCAGTGTTTCGCGCACCAGCTTGTTTTGTCGATGAGGCCGAACTTTGAGCACCAGTCAGACCCGATAACAGCGATGACGCGAGCTGGTCACCTGTGGCACTTGGCTCGATTCCGGGATCGTTTCCAGACCCAGGTTGGTAAGATTGCGAACGCAGCAGTGTTTCGCCATGTCTTTGATGAGTCTGATCAGGTACGTGGGTGGAAGGCGAAACCAGGAGGAATCATTGAGATGACCAGGCCTGCTCGCGATTTAGACAGCACTGACCTTGAGTTTGTTGTCATGGTTCTGAACTCCGATCCAGATGATGAGCTCATCGTGCATCGGCATCATCATGGGTGCACCTGCGGTGGAAGAATGCACTTCCATAACACTGTCAAGAGAGCGCTTGATATGTTATTCTCAGCTGGCTGCCCCGTATGTTTGATGTATAGGTTCAAAGGTTTCGAGTAAGCGAGCTGTTGGATGCTTAGGGGGATGCTTCTCTTCAAGATTATGCCTCGGTGTTTGCGCGCCATGTGTGGTGGTGAATCGCTGGATGCTGCGGAGGCTCAGGCCGCAGTTGCTGCGGCGGCAGGGGGCGTCAACCACTCGGCGAACAACAGCATCAGGGCGAAGAAGCTCACTGCCTTCATAGACGCAGACCTGATGAACAGGTCATTGCACATTGCCGCCATCTGCAACTCGCCGTTCCAGGTCTACCTGAACACCCTGTTCAAAGCGGGCCAGGCCAGGCAGCAGTTCGTGAGATTGCAAGAGCTTCAGCCGCCAACGCGCCCGCATTACAGCCCCTCTGATCACGCTGAGCGCTTCGAGTTGGCCTCGAAGACGGCTCGCGACCATGTCAGGAAGTTCTTGGACGGCACCAACGCTTTGGCCTTACAGCGTGGCATCGCAGATATGTTGTTCGACAGCACGTCCAGCGGCTGGCAGGGTGGAGGATGGACCGACGACCAGTTCTTCCATGCATCTGTGAAGCTCATTTCGTCTGCAGGTTCGGCATACTTCAGGACTGAGTTCAGATTTGCCCAGCCCAAGTTCGATATACTTCGTGCGTGCGTGGTGGATTACAACGAGGATGCGATTATGGCCACAATGAACACACTGGGTGATACCTACCGAGCTTGCAGGTCATGTGTTGATGCATCGTTTTCTTTGCCTTGGATTGGCAAGCTCAGTGGTCATCAGAGTCGCATCGCGCACGGTTTTTTATACAACAGCTTGGCGTCCATGCCCCTCACCTCGCTGAACGAAGAGCGCAAACATTTGCTCGGCCAGGAGATCAAACGGAAGAGAGGTCGCACAGTCGGGCCGTTCGAGCTCTCGGTCAGGACTTACAGGAAGTTCGCGAGGAACAAGATTTTCGCCAAGATGGCGGAGATCAGGAAGGACGTCTGCAGACGTCATGGGGTCAAGCCGATCCACCTCACGAGTATAATGAAGCGACTTGCTGGCAGAACAGGGCGGAGGCGCACCGCGAAGGAGGACGTGCCTTTCAAAGAGAGGCGCGTCAGGGCGACGTCGGCGTGGATGGCATTCACTGGCCTCAATCGGACGCCTGGCGTTCGACCAGGCACGGAGGAGCACAAGCGTGACATGAAGAGGCTCGGCGCCATTTGGCGGGGCATGGATGCAGCTGCGCGCGCAGTGTACCAGAACGTTGTCGACGAGAGCATCGCCAGGGAGAAGATCTCGCAGGCGACCGCTCTCCCGCTCCTTCACGAGGGGAGGGCGTTCCAGCGCCGCGTCCGACGACGCCGAGCTTCGGACGCCATCTCCTCGATCGAAAATCACAGGTGTACAGTGATGTAAATGTGTAAAGACGGCTGCGCCGATATGAATTCAATCAGTCTTGCCATTGCGTGAGCCCCGTGGAGTTTTCTGACTTAGGACCTAGGGGTTCCTCAGGGCAATCGAGCATTCTGGTACACGTCTTGGGTTTCAGTCTGAGTCAGCTCAGTCAGTCAGTCAGTCATCAAC